TTCCTATGCCAAACTTAATTGCATTTTGATTTAACTCTTTGGTTGTAGGTGTTTGGCTCCATAAACTTATTTAGTATCTTTTATATACTCTATGGCTAACTTGTGAGGGGTTGTATTACTTTGATTTGGAGTTTCCACTCGAAAACTCCCATTACTAAATTGTTTCTGCATTTAAAGGTGTTAATTTTTAGAAACGCCTATTCACCCCCCCCTCTAGGTGGCATCCTAGGTCCTTTCAAAATTCATACATGATAAACTCATGTAGGACTTGGCTAATATTTTCAATTCAGAATATTTCTAACCTCGCATTGGATGAAATTTATTTTCCTAACATGAGCATTAAAATATCAACGATATCATTGGGGCATATGGCATCGCTGCTATTGTTGCTCAACCCCAACAAAATGCTCAGTCCATTCTAGATATTGCCACACTTGTTTTTGCATTTATGATGCAACTCCAACACTTGGATTTCTACAAATCCGTGTATTCAAAGGAGTGAGATCCATCTACCTTTTGCAAGTCCCTCATTGGGATTTCAACAAAGGATGTAATATTGCCCAAAAACATAAACAATTGTTTACTCATTCGTTTATCAAAGATCTTTGGTCCATGGCAATTATAACATAATGGATTCTCATAAATGCAAATGTCATTTTCCTTGAGAAAGGTGATAAAGTGTGACAAATCTCACATTTTTTAATAAAAATGTGATTATACTGTCCAAGTACACAGAATTGCCAAATCAAATATTTGGTTCAACTATACCTCCAACTCATTGGAGGCAAGCGAGTTCTTTGGAACAGTTTTGAAGTTCACTTCAATAAGCAAACACTTGCAAAAGTGTCCATATTTCCGTTGGAGATGTTATTATTAGCCTAATATCATACTACCACATGTAGTATGTTGTCCATTACCAGATAATATCATGTACCTCATACATGGTATAAATATTATATATGAGTGCAAATTCATACTCGAATATTGCCTAACTCTATATAGAATCACTTAGGATTTAACTAGGTGGAAATGAATCTTGTTTAGTGGACCATCGTACCGCTAACACAATTATGAGAGATTACACTCTCTATGGGTATCATTATTAATCATGGATGCACCTATGTATCATGATTTTATTGATACTCTATGATGTTTTCATGTATTTAGTTGCATGGTTTCCAAACGGGAACTCAATACTAAGGAGTGATGATGAAAATCTACACTCCACTTAGTGCAACATATATGAAAACTAGATAATTGTGCAATTTCTTTCCATTTCATCTGGGTTGTATTATACATACACCAATCCCATAATATATGTTCCGTACAAAATAATTTCTCTCTTAATCCCATCAAGATTTGGCATATTTGCCTTGATCATTCTACCTTTAAGATGATGAGAAAATTATTATCAATTCTATTGGTCACAACATTAATATGAGCCACTAAATTTTTTGAAGAAATTCAAGAACATATATGTGACTCTATATGCCAATTTATGGATCGTAAAGATATTATGTAATGCATATTTATGCATCTACAATATTGTCCTAAGTGTGTGCCTTACTCATAAGGTACCACAAATTTGCCAAACTCATTGCTCAAATTTTTCAATTTAGAGCAAATGATCCTAGACGTGGGATCTAATCCATTTATATGGAATTGTTTGGTTTTTGGGGACTACGTTAAGTATCTTATGTTCATACACATAATGGCCCAATTGAATCTCTCATCGAGAGAATCAAGCTTGTTGCTTGATGACCCAAAATAGAATTTCAATTTACCAACATCTAGTTGGTGGCATGCGGATTTACACACCGCATCATAAATCCAAATTTATCAAACTACAATCATATGGCTCCTCCATTGCAGTTAGTACGTGGAAATTTGGCCCTATAGCCAAAACATTTCCCATCTGCGAATCGGTAACGTTTTGCACGTACCGATATCACCACCGCAGCATACATCAATGGGCATTTTGGAGATCTACATGAGGTATCATTATACGTCATTTAATAATACCTCAGATCTCTTCTTGGGGATTCATTCATTGCCCGTATGATAAATACATCTTAGAGGAAGATTCCAGGCATTAGGGGGAGATACTTACCACACATAGAATGCCAGGAATCAGAAAGAGAGTATCACTATTGATATTCAATCCTCATATCCATGTACCAAAGAATCTAAACCAACAGTTCAGAATATCTTATATTTACAACACATTGCAAATAGTCTGCCAAATACATTTACTTGTCATAAAGTTGTCACCAAATCCGATTACCGTTGAATGTGCCAGAAAGAGTGGAGGTACCTAACAAAACCACTCAACTCTTGAATCTCAATAAGAGGGGGAGAAGTATGGCCACGTGGGAATACAACTTCTTGCAAGCATTCTCGGATTAGGGGGAGAGAATTCTCCAAGACAGTACATGCATATCAACATCAAGTTGATAGATACTATGTATATTTACTATCCAAAGTCTATGGATATTTAACATCCAAAAGCCCAGCACAACTTGTGCACAAATTTAGGCGTTGGGTCATTGGAACGCCTTAACTCTGTTATTATGGGAAATTACATGAAGTTTAAAGGGTCAATATTTTCACATGCTTAATTGGTTTCATTGAATCAATCATACAAAAGTCTACAAATTGTCGACATATACTCCTCAAAATTGCCATACACCTTATCTGGATCTAGACCATAAGTCCTAGGCAGAGTGTTCAAACACTCATATTGGTACAGCTAAAGGTGGCAATTAAGGAGAATTGCTTTCACTCAATAGTGAGAAGTCTTTACCTTTGTAATGACTCCTCACAATGTGTTCCCTATGGAAGCATTATGGATTTTTCGAATCCATAAGGTGGTGAAATAGTGAGAGCTTGTAGCATATGGTTTCACGCAGAGACCTAGCATAACATACTCATTGGTATGTGTGGAAATTTTGTTCCTATATCGATAATTGGTAGATCAAAATTTAATTTGGATAGATTTGGATTATAAGTCCTAAATGGACTTTGTATTTTGAATCAAAACATAAACCGCAACATACATTGGTGTACAAATCAAGTTACTCCATGACTTGAGATAGTCAAGTTGATTGTGGTACTACTGACTAGGTGAGTTCCTTTCATAGAAGGATGTCTTCCATCTCGATGATTTCACCTGTGTGACCATAGTAAAATCCCATTGGATTTTATACATCTCATATGTCACATATCAAAACAGGTAGTCATCATATAAGACATAATTTGAGATGTAACATTTGGGTAAAACCAAATTACGCTTAAGTCTATAGCTTAAGCATGTACATCAGTCATACAATATTCAATTGATATTGTCTACCAATATCCAAATAATATTGGATAATCATACTATCAACACTAATGGTCATTCAATCCCTAAATATGGATCAATATCCATTCAGACCTTGGGATGATAACCTTAGTGCTATCAAAGCACTTATGTATTTTGCATATCGCAACAGGCATGATATTGCATCTACAGATACTTGCTATAGCTTGAAATAGCGCAACTTCTATAACACCGAAAGGTGGGAGTCAAAAAGGATATCCATAGATATCTATTTGGCACAAAGGATCTTGATTTATTGTTATATAAATTAAGATATGATCAAAGTGGAGTATCGAGGTACTGGCTATCTAATCCCCATAATGCTAGACCATATACTGATGTTATAGTGGTAAAGTGCTCATGGGAGTCATCATCTTGACTCTAGTGGCTACTTTCACTTCTCATTTTGAAGTATTACATGAACATGTATGACTTCATTGAATGGTCACTTTTGATTCCATCGAATCACTAGCCATTATCTTCAAAGATAATGCAACTTGTGTTGCTTGGATCGATGTAAATAGGTTATATATGAGCAATATCACTATATTGCCTTATATAAATGTGTTATTCTCACGAAAGTGAGGAGATAAACACCTTGCAAACTAAATCAAGTGATAACTCCACGAGATTTATTCACAAAGTCCCTACCAATTTCCACATTTTACAATGTATTATTGAGATTGGTATGCGATGACTTTGAGAGTTGCAAGGTTTAGGGGGAGACTTCTATTGAAACTATAACATGTTCAAAACATCATATTGTACTTTTTTCCTCTATGAGTTTTTTCTCACACAGGTTTCTCATAGAAGGTTTTTAGTGAGTCAATATCAATACAAGTTTATATGTCATATCTCTTATTTTCTCCACCGGGGTTTTCATATAGACGTATCTTAGACATATACATGTCATATCTTTTGTTTTCCCCGCAGGGTTTTTTCGAGAAGATATCAAAGACATATAATTACAATTATGATCCTCAGATCATATTTATTGTTCTCTAAACTTGGTTATGAGTTCTTCCTTCTGAGGTTTCCCATATAAGTTTACAATGAGACAATAATTAACATATGCATATCATTTTCTCCTTATTTTTTTCACTGGATTTTAAGAAATTTTAATGGCATATCCACACATATTTCTCCGTATTTTTCCCACAGGATTTTTGAGAAATTATTCAATATATTGATCTAAGTGATGGACAACGCTATTGATAAGGAGTGTTATGATTCACTTTATTAGTGATCAACCGCTCTCTTAGAAGATATCCTTTCAGAAATATCCTTTCACACACACACACACATATATATATATATATATATATACACACACAAAAAAAAAACCGTGGATCAACCAAGAAAATGAGTTTCCACTGTCATTTGTGTTTTCAGTCTCTTGCTTTACATCAAGACACTCACGCTAAACAGTCCACATGATCGGCTCACCCTCGCGCCCCCGCGCAGCCGAATTCCACGCCGCGCCCGCGTCCACTCGTGTCGCGTTCGCGTCGCGCTGCACGCATCGGTGTCACGTGACGGTGGCGCCACGGTGGCGACCTGACGGCTGACGCCTACAAGAAGCCGTCCGCGCCGCGCCTTTCCCAGCTCCCCCCGCGCGGCGAGCTAGGGAGGACCGGAGGAGATGGACCCGGACAAGCAGCGCCAGCACGACGGCGACGGCGGCGGCGCCGCCGCCGCGGAGGCGGACATCGAGCGTCTCCCCGTCGACCTCCTCGCGCACATCCTCTCCCTCCTGTCGCCCTTCTGCGACCTGTCCATGTACGCACGACGGCCGCGCCCGCCTCCTCATCTTTCTGCTGTTCTGTACTAGTACATGTCATGTGGATCAGATTCCCTCTGCTCTGTTGTTTTGCCGTGCCGTCGTCAGGGCTGGGGGAGTGAGCCGGAGGTGGCGCTGGGCCGTCGAGCGGGCGCTGGCGTCGCGGCGGCGGCTGAGCTTCGCGGGCCAGCGCACCGGCAACGACACCGCCGCGCGCCTCATCCGCGCCGCCGTCAACCTCCGCGACCTCGACATGTGAGTTCACCGGCCCCCGGGCCCCATCTCTCTCTCCGCCGACGGCCGGCCGACCGGACGGAGGCTCCTTTCCTGAAAATTCAATCCTTTATTTCTTCCTAACGCTGTCTCCCCGTTCTTGGAGTTCACGAAGCTGCTGGGGCTGCCATATTACCGACGAAGGCTTGATCAAGATTTCGTCCGCGGATTGCGTCGCCAACCTGACGTCCATATCGCTCTGGGGATTGGCCGGCATCACCGACAAGGGCGTGGTTCATCTGGTGAGAACGGGAAGCTTCCGATTAGCTTGTAGATGCCGCCTTTTCACTATTTTTTCAGATTATTAAAGTGATGAAGAAGTCAGTAGCTTTGCTCCACCTGCTTCTAAAAAAAATGATGAAAATTGAACGGAAATGTTTCGGCTATTTTAGTTGTCATGATTTTTTCAAGTGTACGAAAGCGAAAAATTTTTGGACATTGAATATGTGGAGAGATTCTAATGCTACTTGACTGGATGCTGACTTGTGCTGCAGAAAAAGTTGCTACTTTACAATTGCATAACTTGTCTTGCTTTGCTTTCTCCTCATCTGCGGATAGTTTTATTCATCCCCCTCCCCCCCCCCCCTGATCACGTATCCGTGGATTAGACTATTAGGTTGTTGCTTTCAGAACGATATAACATTCAGAATGATGCATGTTTGCCAATATTTTTAGATTAAACATATTGTGCTTTTCATGAACTTGCCTCTTTATCCGTGAGAAGAACGTTTGTTGACAATTTGATCCACACCACTAAGCGTGTCCTTTGAGGCGTTAGTTGCCATTATAACTTACCTTCACGTTTTCTTAACTTTTTTCTTTGCCGTGTACCTGTGTATTAGTCTATTAGACTTTCTGAATGACATGTTAGAATTATCCACACATCTCATCTGCAAGACAAAAGTTGCCAGTCTTATCAGCCTGACTTATCAGTCATGGTACGATGTTTTTCTCTCACGACAAATTAGCTTGAGCCGGCTTATCAGCCGCAGAAACCATCAAGCCGAACATGATTGTTAATCCTAACTGCCATCTTAACAAATTAACAATTGTGGTTTTGTCAAACCTCCCTATAGGTTTCAAGGGCTTATTCTCTGCAGCACCTGAACATTGGTGGAACATTTATCACAGATGAATCCCTGTGTGCAGTTGCAAACAGCTGCACAAATCTGAAGGTGTGCCTCTCTCTCTCTGCTTTTTTTTCCCTGAATCCCAAGTACTTCAGTTCATGCAAGATCACATGTTTATGCAAACAACAAAAACTGACAAAAACACCACATGAAAAATGGGTTTAGGAACAGTCCAAACCTGTTGTTTGAAGATATTTCAATTATGACATTCTTATGGTACTTTGAGTTTAACTAGTTAATGAAGAAGAGGAAAACGTGGAAAAAAATGTAGAAACTTGGTTTGTTGGACCTATCACAGAACATTGCTGCATTTATATTATGTTCGTGGTCCGTGAGCAGGGGTAGATTGGTTATGACTGATCATGTATATAGGTGATAAATGATGCTAGGTAGCAATTGAGAGTTCTTTTTCTAATTGTTCAAGCAAACTGGATGTGCACACAGTAACTGCATTAGCAGACGTGATGCTTTCGTTCTCTCTCTCTGTGGTTGTTCTAAGAATTCAGAACACCACAGCTTTAGCAAAAAATGAGGTTCAGTATCAGAGTGGTTAGGTCTGATCTGTCATCCTTAAAGAGATACAGGAATATACCATCGCTGTACTGTTAGTTACATCTCTTTGACGAAGATAGATTCCTAGATACAGAGGAGATGCATGAATAGAGGCCTGGACCATTTTGTGCCTAAAACTCTGGGCCATGAGATAGTTGTTTACAGTTGTTAGCTTTCGTGTTTTTTTTTACCTTTGCGGGTTATCGTTGCTCCATTGTATTTCCCGGTCTAGGTTCTTCTTTTTAATATAATCGACAGTTTTTTTTGCCTGATTTGTTTTAAAAAATGTGCCTAAAACTCAGGCCATTTAGAGGCGAAAGTAAGGTTCGCTAGGCTGTGTTCTGTGTTTCGTTAGCTTTCAGTTGCAGTGCTAATTTGAGCTGACTTCTTCGATGCAATGAAACACAATTCTCTTGCGTGTTCAAGAAAGACAAGTTGATCTTAACAGCTGTGTTTGTTGCGATGACATTCTTATGGTACTTTGAAATAAGTCGGTTAATGAATAATGATGAAAGAAAAACGTGGAACAAATCAATGGAGACTTGGTCTGATGGTCCTGTCATAGAACAGCGAGTCATTAAACTTAGGTCCGGGGGGCCATCAGCTGGGCAGATACTTGTCGTGCAGTCATGCAGATCGAGGTGATCGATGCTGCTAGATACTGTATTGAGGTTTTTTCTGGTCAGGATCTGCAGGCACGAGCACGACCGCCATGCTGCTGTTTGTCCTGCACGGTGCCTTTCGTACCATCCCTGGCTGCCACAGCACATAAATGTAGGCTGCGAGTAACAGGGTTTCTCTAATGCTTTGCGGTTGTGGGGGTTCAGTTAGCTTTGAGCCAGTCCGATAGGGTGTTGACTGGAGTTATGTTGGCTGCCATGCTGATTCCTGAATCCTTGTTTTGGAGAATAAAAGATCCAGTGGCTCAAATTCAATTGCTAGTTAGGTCAAGAACAAAAGATCCACTAAATCAAAATTCAGTTGCTAGTTAGGACAAAAGTCCCAAAATTCAGTTACCAGTTTGATCAAAATAACCTGAAGGAGCGCAGATGCAGCCATGGTGGGACGACAGCTGACGGGATTAAACCCGTTCCATTGTTTTACTTTTTGTCCGACCATTTTCGTATCTGTAGGTCTAGTGTTTGATTGGTTGTCTGCATTAGCCTGTATTCAAGCTTGTACAATATAGTTTATCCATGTTTTATTGCAGACTCTTATATAATCTTGCGGTGTGCTCAAAGCAATGACAATGTAGCATTAGCTATTACACCAATTTTTTTCGTATTAGACAATGCAGATTTACATAAGTTGATGGGCACACAAAAATAAAATATTTCAGATTCTCTACCTTTAATAGAAATGAGACTTCTAATAAAACATATAACTATATATATAAGATGACTATGTGTAATAAAATGCAAACAAACTAACACAATTTTATCAGACGCTGCTTGTCTACACAGGATAAAAACACGAAGGCACTACATACTGGCTTAAATTGTGCCGCATTATACTGGCTTAAATTGTGCCGCATAAAGTGTAATATAGGCTAAACTCATTCCAGGAGTGGCATTGTCCTATCCGTTTTGGCAGGATCCTGTTTTGAGACAGAAAAACACTCGTATTTTTTTTTTCCTATTATGCTGTATAAGGAAAAAGTCCACATTACCTTCCTCAACTTTCACGAAAGTCTATTTTTCCTCCCTAAACTCTAAAACCGGGCAAAACACCTCCCTCAACTTTTAAAACCGTTCATCTTACCTCCCTGTCCCTGTTATAAGCAGTTTTGAAGCCGATTTTGTCTTTTTCTTTTTTATTTATTTCGGCTAAATTTTTGAAAAATCATAGTAAATCACAGAAAAATCATAAAATGGAAAATTCAATTTTGTTGGACTCCACATGAGTAGATCTACACAGTGAACATATAATAAAGTTTGTGTTGTGGCTTTAGATCTATGGTTTTCTGTAATTAATTAGAATAATTTATATCTGTAGTTTCTATGGTACAATTGTGATGAAATTTTTATGGTGGGCTAATAATTATATGCTTAAACTATAGTAAAAATTTCATACTCATTGGATCATGTATAGCTTAGTTATAGATTTATTTATATTTAACAATCATAAACCTAAATAAAATCTATAACTAAGTTATACATGATCCAATGAGTATGATATTTTTACTACAGTTTAAGCATACAATAATTAGTCTACCATAAAAATTTTACCACAATTAGACGATAGAAACTACAGCTATGAATTATTTTATTTAATTACAGAAATGCATAGATCTAAAGCTACAACAAAAACTTTGTACTAAAGCATACCATATTATATATTTACTGTGTAGATTTACTCAAGTGGAGTCCAACAAAATTAGATTTTCTATTTTATGATTTTTTTTATGATTTATTATGATTTTTCAAAGATTCTACCGAAATAAATAAATAAGAAAAAGGCAAAATCGCCTTTAAAACCGGTTATAACCGTGCCAGGAAGGTAAGATGAACGATTTTAAAAGTTGAGGGAAGTGTTTTGCCCGATTTTATAGTTTAGAGAGTAAAGTTGAGGGAGATAACGTTGACTTTTCCGCCGCATAAAGCTGGGAAAGGCCCAAGAACGCAAGAAGAGCAAAAGATCCGAACCCACAGGCCACAGTCGAGTATTGGCCCGTGAGGCTCACTAGATGTACCTGCTCGGCCTGTGCCACGTGATGTCACCTGTGGCTTTCTCCACATTCTGGTGCCGTGGTGCGTCGCGCAGGGACTAGTCAAAACTCTTTCCTCATCTCCTGCTCCTGCCCAGCATGGCACGCTGTAGTAGGAAACAAGGCTTCGTCAAAACTATTACTACAATTCGTTGCTGCTGCCAGCACAATCATGAGCTTGGTCAAATACATGCACATAATGCTACAAATTTCAGATCTGGGTGGAGTCGTTGACCTGCCTGCATGGTTGCTTTTATTTATTTCCATGCATGCATGTGCAGAGCATCATCCTGTGGAGCTGCCGCCACGTGACGGAGGCCGGGCTGGTGGCGCTGGTGAACAAGTGCCGGCGGCTGGAGTGCATCAACGTCGGCGGGATGCGGGTGCCGCCGGAGAGCTTCGTGGGCCTGCTTTCCATCAGCCCCGCCCTGCAGATCAGGTCCATCCCCCGCATCCTCAACGCCGGCGTGCAGGTCTCCTGATCCACATCCATCCATGCATGCATGCATGGACGACAAGGATTATTGTATCTGTATCAGTTATCATTAAGCCTGCCATGAACCCACATTGTTGCCATTGGTTTTTCATGGAAAAAGAATTGTCACAATGGATTCATTCATCAAATTAAGGATCAACGTACGTGTGTGTGTGCTCGTGTTGCCATATTGTTGTTGTAAAAAAAAAGATACGTTGTCTTGATTCTATCTTTTGTACATGTATACATTTTACACAGAATAAATAAATTGTACCGCCACTGCACCACAGAAAGTGCTATGACACTCATATATCAGCATCATACATGTTAAGGTTAAGTGACACTGCAAGTGCAAACATATCTCAGACTCGAGACTCAGACTGCTGGTTGGTGAACTTTCATTCACGGACTTAAACGCCGCCATCAATTTTGATGGTGACCTAACAAGAAAAATAAACTGCATATGGTTTACTAAGGCTTCATGGTACTTAGGATCTTTTCTATTATTTACAAAACTGAAAATCATCGCAAATAGATTGCCTAAAGTCTTACTTGGAGACCTACTTTCCACCAAAGATGATGGGGTTCGAGATGTTAGCGTCTCATCAACCATTCACCCACCCCGTGAGACAGGGACGCCAACCCAACTCCGGCAACCGGTTTGGCCTGCCTCCTCCTAACTGTCCTGGAACCCACTCTCTGTCTCTCTGATGAGATGGCTTTGATTTCCTTGCACGCCACTACCCGCGGTGTGTGAATTGTGATGATGAAGCTGCTGCTATTGTGCTATGCTTAGCTGCTACGGCAACTGCTATCCCTGGCAAGCATGACTGACTCACTGACTGACTGACAAACTGGCGTGTTTCTGCAAGTTTCTCCTTGCCAAAACTACGAGAGTAGGGGCCAGCTTGGATGCCAAAATTTTTGGCAAAACGATACTATAGCGTTTTCGTTGTTATTTAGCAATTAGTGTTCAATCATAGTTTAATTAGGCTTAAAAGATTCATTTCGTGGATTTCGTCTAAATTGTATAATTAGTTTTATTTTTTATTTATATTTAATGTTTCATGCATGCGTCAAAGATTTGATGTGACGGAAAATCTTGAAAAATTTAGTATTTTGGGGTGCAACTAAACAGGGCCCAGGACTTCTCTGGATTTCGTTGCGATTTAAGGCATTGGATGTTGGAGTTGGACTTTGAGAAGGGAAAAACAGATGCTTTTTTCTTTCTAGATACTGCACTGCGTTATCGTTGATTTTTCTTTTGCTTTTGTTCGTTCTATCCACATCAGCACATGGGCACAGGCCACTGGCCACATGTGCACTCAACTTGAGCTAGCTAGCTCTGATACAGAAGGTTCTGTTCACAATCATGTCGTTCGGCAAGGTACAGATGCTATACTAGTAGCAAATATCTGCACGGAGGTGTCGCTGTCGGTGAATCGGTGAACATGCGAGGAACTGGGTTTGAGGTTTGCCATCTCTGTCAAAAGATGGAAGCATCCATCGACTGATGGGGTAAAACTTCAGAGCGCGCATGAACTGAAATGTACCAAACCAGAATCGGGTAAGAGCTGTAGAATCTAGGAGTAGATGTAGATGTAGATGAATGCGAAACGCACCCAATTTGGCAGCTTGGGTTTTGACCAATTCAGTAATTAATCAGGATTTGGACATGCACAAGGAGAACGAAATCATTCACAGTACTATAGGTACAAGTATATACGTAGTAAAATACTAAAATTGATTGGTAGTATTATCCATCTCGAGATTTACGTATTGAAATGGCGACAATTCCCAAGAAGAAGAAGGAGGACAAGATTACAAGGCCAAGAAAGAGCCAAAAAGCCGGTGAATAATTAATGCTGCGCGTCGTCTATGGTATGATTGGAATGGGGATGCGGCGGCGGCGCCGTCGGTGGCCAGGGCATGTTTTTCACTTAACGCGGCGGCAGAGGGTGACGCCGTCGCCGACGGGGAGCTGGCAGATCTCGACGCGCTCGTCGGCGGCGAGGGCCTTGTTGAGGACGAGCACGAAGTCACGGTAGAAGCGGATGTACTTGCGCATGGGGGCGTCGTCGGGGAGCACGACGGAGCCGTTCCACAGCGTGTTGTCGTAGCCGATGAGGCCCCCCAGCTTCACCAGCTTGAGCAGCCGCTCGTGGTAGTTGAGGTAGTTGTCCTTGTCGGCGTCCACGAAGACGAAGTCGAACGACCCGTGGTTCTTCTCCTGCGGATTCGAGATGGAACCTTCGTCAGGACTCGCTGTCATTTCAATCGCTGGATGATAGATCTAGCTAGCGGGCATTCTTTTTTCGTACGTCTGCGATGAGGTCGTCTAGGACGGGGAGCGCGGGGCCCTCGCGGAAGTCGATCTTGTGGGCGACGCCGGCCTTCTCGATGCAGGGCAGGCCCAGCTCGTAGTTCTCGCGGTTGATGTCCATGGCCAAGATCTGCGGGACGAGCAACAGAGAGAGGGTAAAAATCCTTCATTTATCAGTGGACCGCCAGCTGCTTCACCTTCATCAGGGAGGTGAGTGGCATGCAGATCTGGGAAGAGAGGGAAGAACCGACCGTGCCGTCCTCCGGGAGGGCGAGCGCGGTGGCGAGGAGGGAGTAGCCGGTGTAGACGCCGATCTCCATGGTCTTCTTGGCGCCGATGAGCTTGATGAGCATGTTGAGGAACTGGCCCTCGTCGGCGGAGGTCGTCATCAGGTTCCTGCACGCCACCACAGGACGCCGCCATGGTTTCCAGATCAGATCGGTCCAGCAGGTCCGTCGGCTCAAATCCGCGGCACGGATCGACACGGGAAACGTACCATGGGTGCTTGGCGGTGATCTCGCGGAGCTCCTTCATGCTCTCCGGCTCCCGCGGGTACACGCTCGTGTCCAGGATGTACTGCGGATCCATCATTCGTCCCCCGGTCAGATTGATTCAGGCCACGGAAGATCTAGAGCGCACGCGCGGCCGGAAATGGGGGCACGCACGGCTCGAAATGGGCAGGACAGGCAGTGTGTGTGCTCTTGTTCACCGTACCTGGTAGAGGTCGTCGCTCTTGAGCAGGCTCTTGTGGCCGACCTCGGAGTGGCGCGTCTTCTGCTCGCCGTTGGCCTGCTCCGCCGGCGCGGCCTTGGCCGCCTCGGTCGCCGTGGTGGCCATTGAGGGCAGTGCTGACGAACGAGTCCCTCCTGGAGATCTAGGTGCGGGGCACTAGCTGGCGCGTCGGCTACTCGTCGGGTGTCGCTGGCTGGATTGACTGACCTTGCCTGCCGTGCCGGGGCGGCTTATGTAACGCGCGGCGGCAAGGCGAGGCATGTGACTGTGCTGCCAGGTGGCGAGCGCGAGCGACGGGGTCCGGGCCCCGCGCGTCAGCGAGCGGCGGTGTGGCACTGTGGGTTTGGTTGGTGGGGTGTGCGCGGGGGTGGGTGGCGGCCGCTGGGGCGGGGCGGGTCTGGCCGGTGGCCGGACCCGTGCGTTTGGTCAGAGAGGCCTTCGGCCTCCCGTTCGCCGTGGCTGACTCTGACTGCCGACCTGGCACTGGCAGAGTCCTGGGCCCGGCGGGGCGGGTTGCTTCCTCCGGGGACCCGCGTGGTGGTCGCCTTCCTCTTTCCGGGGAGAGAGCAGCGAAGCCCGCAATTGGTGCCTGCCGCGGCCCGCGGGGGAACGGACCCACCCACCAACCCACTCTTGCTTTCCGTGCACCAATCATCATCCATCGGGTGGTTAGAATCGTGACTCGGGCGGGAGGTAGCGACCGGTACTCTACTATACTCTCTGGCACGGGAAATGGAGTGCCAGTGCGCGCGGCATGAGTGCATGACCATCGTGTTCGCGCAGCATCTTGCACAGTTTGCACCGGCCCATAAATATACGCAACTCCTGCCGACTTTTGGGGTGGCCTTGGGCTGTATGGTCCAGCTTGGACCTTACCATTCGTCCAGGGAAAGAAAGGTTGGACTTTAGGACGTCCACCGACAAGTCAACAGTACAGTTTATAGTATTGTAGTGGTGCTAATTGCTCCAATTTGGGGAAAAGAATAGGGAAAATTTAACCGATTGACAAAGACATGTCCACTTTGAGGAGACGAACGAAGGCACTTGAGAATGAATGATGCATACTGGCTGGTAAATACTACAGTACAAACGAAGGGACTAGCTTTCACGTTGCTGTTTTCTTATACAAGTCTCAATGTTTTTCATTACATACCAGTTTCATGGTAGGATGAAACGGGCACTCCCAATTTAATGATGGTTTCTATCTCTATTAAATGAGATGCCAATAAGCGATGACATGGCGGCTACTAATTAACGAGAAAGAGATGAAAATAGAATAAACCGTTTCTTTGAGAGGAAACGAAGTCGTCTCTTGAAGAGAGAGATGTTGGGAAAAAAGTTTCATAGCATAAAATGAGTTTTATATGGATGCAACTTATTTACACCGGTTCCAACATCAGAAAGTCTTGGAGACAGAGTTGTGAAACTCCCCCTGAGACACTAGCTGCTGGACGCTTCAATGCGAGCCAATCATCAGGTCCGTCATCTACTAGGGCGAGTAGTTAACGCGAGTGGAGGGTGCGTCAGTGAGCATGCATGAAGTTGCCCAGATTAATGTCGCTTGAGGATTCATCTTGTCACGCCTAAGAACAAGTTGTCCGAAGGAGTAGAAATAAATACAAGGCAAGGCAAAGTATCCCTGTAGGGTACAGGTCCTACTACCCGTGCTATTGTTTTACGAGAAATGAGAGCATCTATGGTAATCGGTAGAGAAAAAAGAAAACACACATTTAAAACAAGAAACCACGCAGAAGGTGTCTACAGTTGGGACTGCCCTTATTTACACCGGTTTCGACCCCAGAAAGTCTTGGAAACAGAGTTGTGAAACTCCCACTGAGAGTGACCTTACTGGCACTAGCTGCTGGACGCTTCAATGCGAGCCAATCATCAGGGCGAGTAGTTAATGGGCGCGTTCGGCTGGCTGGTGGCTGGCCAGCCCACTCATGAATCACTGTTTACGCGGTGTTTTCAGGCAGAACAGTATTTTCCTCTCACAACAATCAGCTGGAACAGTATTTTGGCTTATTTTTCAGTCCTGCCGATCAGGACCAATGGTGCGTGTATGCATGCGTGAAGTTGCCCAGATTAATGTCGCAGGATTCATCTTGTCACGCCTAAGAAAGTTGTCCGAAGGGAGTAGAAATACAAGGCAAGGCAAAGTATCCCCTGTAGGGTACAGGTCCTACTACCCGTGCTATTGTTTTACGAGAATATCATATATCACCTAAATATTCGTTATGTCTAATACATAATAAAAATTATGTGCCTAAAAACTAAAATAACTTATAACGTAGAACCGAGAGGTGTTGGTTGTGGGAGCGAGGCATGCGCTCCGAGCTCATGCGTGCGCACGAAAGACCAGCGGAGGGAGGCAAAGAGAACATCTGCAAAACGTGACACACCGCATGTTGTCGTGGATACGATGAATGTGGCAACTGGCCACGATGTACCTCTGTGCCTAGATCGCTTTCCACCTATGTAAGCTCTAGTCAATCTTCTATCATTTTCCAATATGAGACTAATCCGTATTGTACCTACATTAATTACGAGTCTTAGGATTTTATGACGTTATTTTTAAGACTGCAATATCATGTAGAATAAAACGAAACAATGATAAAACACACATTTTCAGCGGAGAGTTTTATTCTACAGTTCCATGGATATTTAATTCGATGACCCATAGAGAGTTGGTAATCTGTCAAGAGAGTTTTATCCCCGTGAAACTCATTTCTTCCTATCTTGTTAAAAACCTTGTCACGTCATCAAATGCGCTTACGTGGTAGCTTATTAAATACAAATATAACTATGATAAAACTCCCATTGAAACTAGCCTTAACTTAATTGAATAAAAAAAATGAAAGCTAAACAAAGTACGCGTGTAAGTAACTTTGTCTGTTTACTGCGTATGGAACTGAGGATTAGGATAAACATGATCGCGACCCGTCACCATTTTTTTTATTCTTTTGCGAAGAGCCGAAGAGCGATCCATCATCATTCGGTTGTGTTGTGCGTACCCAGTGGCCCCCACACAGGCCCACACAATACAGTATCGATTGTAAGAAATATCTGTGCCTCAACCGTTGTTTGTACCAATGATCGTGACCCGTGACGGCTATTTTTTTTAGTTTTCTTTGCGAAAAGCGATCCATCATCATTCGGTTGTGAATGTGCGTACCCAGTGGCCCCCACAGCATTAAATGTAGACAAAAGAAAAACTAATTGCATAGTTTGGTGGAAAATTGTAAGAAAACGCTTTGCCTCAACCGTATGTTTGAACACTATTTGCCAAATAAAAACGAAAGTGCTACAGTAGCCCCAAAATCCAAATTTCACGAACTAAACAAGGGCTATGTATCCAGCGCAGAATTGCTGGGGACAACCGATTGATTTCACAGGAGCTGGCAACCGGATTTCTGGTCGTCGGATTGGGCACGTGGCGTCCAATCTCGCTCTCTCTCTCGCTGCGTCCGATCTCTTTCTCCGTCGCTGCGTCCCAATATCTCTCTCGCTGCGATCCTCTCTCTCTCTCTCTCTCTATCTATCTAGCTTGCCGACCCGCCGCAATCTGGCTTGCCGCCCCGCCACCCCCAACCATGGTCCCTAGGCTGGCCCTCCGCCGTAGCTCGGCTGGCCGGCCTGTCACCCCTAGTTCACCCCCAACCGCTGGCCCTCCATCGCCGCTTGGCTAGCCGCCCCGATGCCCCTAGTTCGCCCCCAACCACCGCCCAGACTGGTTGCGGCTCACTACGCCACTGCTCTATTGCCCACTCTGAGTCTCTGAGGTCTGCAATTTGGCATATATTTGTGAATAATTTGACATATATTACTTTGAATTATGTAATCCATAGAAATAATTTATATTTTTTTTGAAAAATTTGGCATATATTTGTGTTATTCTCAAATTACATTACTCTATCTAATAAATTACACTGAAAAAATCATTGTAAATATAGTAATAAGATGGTGTAAATATATCTATAAGATAGTGTAAGTGTGTGAAAAAAATCTGGTTGTTGGAAGGGGCTAAAACAACCCCTTATTGGCTGATCCATTCAGCGTGGGCACTGCCACTAACCTCGTCTTAGGCATATCTTTATTCTTGTCGTCCACATGACGTGCTTTTTTGTTTTTCCCGGACGACGCTGCGTAGTGCTTGGATGGTGGCACGCACGAACAGCCTGGAGACGAGACGGACAAACGGAGGCCGGTTGCGCACGACAAAGGCGCCGCAGCAAGCGTAAGCTAGCGCCCTTGTCCCGTTGTCCGTAGGCGAGGCTACGTGCCTACGTGCTGAACTGCTGGTTCTCTAGAGCCTAGACGCCACCCGGCGCCCCGCACGGCACGGTAGCAGGTAGCTCGGCCGTTTCGGCCGCGGGCGCGTGTTGGACGGCAAAAACGGCCCAAGAGCGACAGCTGAATGAATAGCTGATACGGGCTGCCATTTGCGCGGGCCACGCCGACGCGCCTCGCGTTGCGGGGCCAATGCCGCCGCAGGACAGGAGGCCTAGAGCCGGTTGGGTTGATTGATGCAGTGACATGAGCAGCAGATCACAAGCCAAACAAATTAACAAAACATATATTACTGCAGTTGTCGTGGCCCGTGGTGGTAAAAGACAAGTGTCAGATGCTGCAGTTGTCGCCTGTGATGTGTGATCTTTCTGTTCTAGGTGACTGTTTAGTTCCTAAAATTTTGTAAAAAATTTTAAGATTTTCCGTCACATCAAATCTTCAAAAGATTCGTCGTCGTAAGATTAAATATAAATAAAAATAAAACTAATTATTAGTTTATCTAAATTTACGATACGAATCTTTTAAGCTCAATTGATTTGATGATGAGAGAGAGTAAAAAATTACGAAAACATGATGAAAGTGTCTGAGATTATTTCAGTTGTCGCCTGTGAACTAATCTTTCTGTTCTAGGAGGAGACGACGCTGATCCAGGTCCTCCGTCATTTATTTATCCGGTTCCTAAATCCTAACTAAACTAAGGAGCTTCGTTCGACACGGTTAGTGAGTCAGTTAGGCAGCGAGGCGAAGCCAAGGGTCACCATCCCCGTGGCACCAAAGGAGCCATTCGGTGTCGCTTTGCCTTACCAGACGCGTGT